CTTTTGAGGTTGGCAGTGAGATGTCGATGTCCTTTGAGGTCGATCAAGTGTAGTAACTGTAATCGTGACATTATTGAGCTAGATAAATGGGGGGCCGACCTACTGAGGTCGGTCTTCCTGTTGCCGACGTGCTTCAAGGTCGACTTTCAACGTCAGATGATAGGTTGATACCACGGTTGCACTACATCAGCCCTCGAAGATGCTAGTCATCAACTCCTATGAGAAGCCACAGGGAGCTTGACCTGCGGGGGCAGCCCGACTAGCTGTAGGTCGCCAACTCGCACGGAAGCCTTGAAAGGCTCGACCAGTAAGGGTGTTCGCATAGTCCGCAGGCCGCCAACTCCCATGGGAACTACGAAGGGTTCAACCTGTAGGGGAGACCTCGCGAAGGAGACTGATGAGGCCCGTCCGGGCTGAAATGAGGTCGACAGAGCTGCTTAGTCCGTTGGACATCAACTCCCATGGGAACCGTGAATGGCTCGACCTTCGGGGACAACCTTACTCTAATATGCCTGTCGTCGAATTGCTTTTATATTTGACCCAAGCCAAAGAGGCGACAGGGTCTAATGTGGTATCGAGGTCTTTTATCAGCTCAGAACTTTAGCCCTTAGGCCATGGGAGCGACTCGTGGTCCACTCTTCGTAATATTATTTAGCCGACGTGCGGCCTGACCTTTCCGCCTAGGCGAGTGGTCCTTCTGTAGTAACTTCTCATATGGCTGCTTCTACGTCATCCCGTGGGATTATCTTCTTAGGTGAGTGCTTGCGAAACCACAACGTACATGTCATTGTTAGTGTGAGTTGGCAGTTCATTGCCATGACGGCACTACATCAGCCTCGTAGTGACGCTGGTCACCCATTCCTACAAGAAGCCACTAGGAGCTCGACCTGCGGGGGCAGCACTACTGACTTTAGGTCGCCAGCCCGCACGGGAGCCTTGGAAGGCTCGACCCACAAGGGCATCCATGTAGTCCATTGGCCGCCAACTCCCACGGGAGCCACGAAGAGCTTCACTTGTAGAAGCGACCTCGCAAAACAGGGCTGGTGAGGCCTCGTCCTGGCTGACTACTGTTAAGGATGAATTGAGGTCATTCTGCTACTGTCTACATCGGACTTCTCCCATGCTTAGATCTGGAATTCATGCTTCATCTCATAGAACAACCACACTTCAATCGCGGCGGGAACCACTGATGGCTCTACCGCGGGGAGAGGGGCATTCACATGTAGTAGCAGTGTATTTATTTGGGGCACTAGGAATGCTAGGTTCGGCCTGAACTTGTCTGATTGTAACAAGGGAGTTCTCAATGTTCATCACAGATGTTCTTGCCCCCTAGTAATTGATATTCGTTATGGATGTTGGTGCTGCTCAAAAGTGTTTTTTAGTTCATAAAAGATGGAAATTAGAGTGAGAACTTAAATTTTTGAAAGGCGAGTTCTTAGCTTTTTGGAAGATGAGGACTTAGCTTTTAAGAATGTGAGAACTTAGCTTCTTGTAGCGTTTCCCACAGTCGGCGCCAATTAATGATGCACGATTACTCACATCCAAACTCTCTAGCATTCATACTTAGCTCACAAAAGACATAGCATACTAACTTAAGCATCAGAGCGACCTCACCGGGTCTGCCACCCCGATCTCTCTAAGCATTGTTTTGCAAATTGATTCAGCTCACCACGCAAATACGACCAGGTGATTCTCCGGCCAGGAGCTTCCAGATCGCGCACTATCACACTTCACACCCCTTTGGCCCATTATTTGCTCGCCCATTGATAATTCTTCGGTTTTGTTCTTCAAATCCTAATAAAGCATCAGAGGCGGCAATGGGATGAATTCAAATCCACCACCAATACATCTCTTTTTTAATCTTCCGCTTAATTCCAAAAACCGATTTATTCATAGGCAACAACACCATGTCCTACACTCGTACTCGCAAGTACGGATTCAATTTCTCTCCTGATTCTCCTTTGCATAGTCCAAAACTAGGGTACCTCTTTCTTGCATGTTCAATCATCTTGAATCTTTCAAAACTTTCTATTATCTCTAACCAAGTGACCAAACTATTTATTAAAGACTTGAACTCAAAGAACTTCAGTTGAATAGATTCGGTGTTGGTATATGGCAAAAGCCAAACTCGAGCCCGGCCACTCTCATTCGCATAGCATCATCAACGCTGAGAACTTCTGTGAATAGTGATTACGGTAAGACTCTTCTCCCCTCTTCTCTTTCTCCTTTTCTTTGTGCATGTTCTTCATTTTATTTTACTATTACATGTAGTGATATCTGTCTTCTTCTTCTTTGTTTTCACGGTCCCGGCGGCAACCAACCTCCCTCCTACTCTTTTCTTTCTCTCTTTTCTTTCTTTCTTTCTTTCTTTCTTTCTTTTTCCCCCTGATTTTTCATCTGCCCTGAATCGCCACCGTCGTCGTTTGTTCCTTTTCTTTGTGCATGTTCTTCATTTTATTTTACTATTACATGTAGTGATATCTGTCTTCTTCTTCTTTGCTTTCACGGTCCCGGCGGCAACCAACCTCCCTCCTCTTTCTTTCTCTCTTTTCTTTCTTTCTTTCTTTCTTTATTTCTTTCTTTCTCTCTTTTCTTTCTTTCTTTCTTTCGTTCTTTCTTTATTTCTTTCTTTCTTTCTTTTTCCCCCTGATTTTTCATCTGCCCTGAATCGCCACCGTCGTCGTTTGTTTCTTGCATTCCGCCCTGAATCTCCCCTTGGGTGGCATTTTAGGCCATGTGAAGTCTCTTTCTAGCTCATGAGTTTCTGAAACGTTGCAATATTTCATGCTTTTAAGAATATGTTCTGCTTTTTCTCCGAACATGCATATAAATCGTAGTAGGCTTGCTCCAGGAGTCATATACCTTGTACCGATGAGAGATGATTTGGGCAAATGGCAATTACTAATTCCAATATAAGAACGGTAGTCACCCTAATTATATCCATCGTGTTCGCTCTGATGATTGTTACCTGTAATAGCAAAACAATGGCAAATGGGTGTAACTGCTTTGATGTTCTCCTTTCCTTCTAAGTAATATTGTTAAGTTGAGGAAGTCAAAACTATGAGTTGCCATTTTCTTATCCTCCGTTGTTTTTGTTTTTCATTACAGAGAAGTAGGACCTACTTCTCCAGGACTATATGTTTGAGGAAAGCGTATGCCTATTTCTTAGATCCACCTGGTTACGCCGTTGACAGTCAATGGTGTTTGCAATCTTCTTGGACCTCCAATTTGTCAACGGTGTGAAGCAGATTGCTCTAAGTAGTACATAATGGCTATATTCAGGCAGAACGTAAAGAAGCAGGGCCTGTAACTCCAAAGAACTTCCACGGCAATGGGGCTGATGCATCACGTATGCCTAAGAAGAAAGGCACAGCCAAAGATGCAACTGGGCAACACGCAAAATGGGCCTTGAAGCGCAAAGCTGCAAACAAGGCAGCAGCCAAAAAAAACATCAGCAGCATTTGGTAAGGTTGGGGCACAAGTAACCCTCCAATTGTAAATTACTAAGAAGACCAGGCACAATCAACTTTCTAGTAAGTAGTAGTTGAACATCATATTATCGTACCTTAGCCTGGTGGAGTAAAAACAGCATAGGTGGTTTAGAACTCTTGGTTTCAAGCTGGCAAATTCAAGTGATTAGGCCTTCTGTTGGATCGTTGAAATTTTCTCTCCAGTTGCTGATCTGTTTCGCTACTTGTTAATTTCTGAATTAAGTTGAACCGTGGATTTGTTAGTTACTCAAACACCACTCTTAAAGTTTAAATGCTCCAAAAACAAGAATTCTGCATGCTGTGTTCTGAATTTTGTGGAACAGATGGCACACAGACATTGCTGTTAGTAGCAGATTAAACTTCCATATAACATGATATTTTCATCTAATAATGGGTCATGAACTTCTAAATTTATTGGTAAGTATTATTGTGAGATTTTACACTTTTTGGTTTTCTTTTGTTCTTTTCCTTTCTTTTCTTTTCAGATATCATAGAGAGATTCCATATATTCCCTGTCAAGGACTCAAGCTCTTGATCCCTTATTCATATGATGGTACATTACCATAAGAAAATTTCTAATTTCCAATCAAGACTTGATATTAGCACCATTACACTAATATCTTATCAGAATTCCAAAGTATGCTTGAGCAAGAGTAGTAATAGGATAGATGACCTCTTGAGACTTCCTCCTTGTAAGGTCTCTATGGTGGAGATTTGAGATCGATTAAAACCTTCATCTTGGTTGGGGGGATTTTGAATATGGGGGATGGGCCATCCCCTATGGTTGTGTAGCCCCGACAATTGGCCTGCTCTCTTTTTTTCTTTCTGCTTTGCAACTCTTGTTTTCCCTGGTTGTGCCCTTTTACAAATGATCAACCCAACCTGGCCCAAACTGCATTCCTACTGCTAGACATACAAGCATCCAACTCTTAACATAGGATAGGAGATAAGAGGAATGACAATTCCTCGTGTACATAATTTGGATAAATGGGCCAAATAATTTGAATTTGCTAGCTTGAAACCAAGGTTCTAAACCACCGATGCTGTGATTATTTTACCAAACTAATGTAAGAGGCAACCTGTACAATGAGATAATGTTCAACCACTGAAAAAGGTTGCTTGTACCTGGTCTTGCTTATGTAAGCACCTATGCCCCAACCTTAGATTATGCTTTTGTTTATGTAATCACTCGGTTAATTGTTTGGTGAGTATTGGTATATGATGTGCAGATGTATTGGGTAAATTCGTTTATCTACTTGAACTAGTTTATTTAGCCCCTTTTGGGTTATTTTGTTTCTCAACAAATTGTTGTTTCGTATTGTTTTTTTATTTCATGGGGTTGGGTTGAGTGTCTTAGGGAGAGTTTTATGTACTTGGGTTTCAGGGGCAAGGCGGGCTATGTCCTCCCCTGTTGTCTATCTGATTTATTAATAAAATTTTAAGGTGGCCACCCCTCCACCTGGAATAAATTTTGGGGTTAAATCTATGATACCTGAAAAACTTTATCCAATAATCCAAACACAGCCTAAAATTAAGAAAAAAATCTTAGCATATATATATATATATCATGACCCAACCCGGGGGATCAGCCAAACCTGAATCTGACTCATGTTAAAGAATTGAAACCCTAACCCAACCCTATAGAATCAGGTGAACCTGTGTTTACTGTTTAACCTGACCCATTGACATCCCTACTAACATAGGGTATTAGTTCCAGAACAGGATGTCAATGGGTCAGTTTGTATATGGGTTTGGATCAAGAAGTCGGTCTAACCAGACCCAATTAATCTAGTAAGACTCAAATTAGACTGGATGGCTGAACCAGTGATCAAGTGACATTTATGGGTCCTAGTTAAATAACAGCTTCTATGGTTTGTATTGTACGATTTAACCATCTGATTAACTGGTTCAATTGTGACCCAGTTAGGTTTGGTTAGGCTCAGTTTGTAAGGAGTACAAATGCAAATATGTAGAGTACAAAACCTTATATTTTGTATTATTTTGTATGCATTTGCACTGTACATATTTGCATTTGTACTATTTCCAAACTGAGCCTTAAGGTCAATCCTAATCTAAGCCGAGTTGTTGATTCCCCAATTTCAGGTGGAGTTTATGTTTGGGCTGATCCCCTTTTTTCACTATTTTGTTTTACTAAAATTTATTTTGTCTTATATTTAAGATTAGGTAAATAAACTCACTTAAGCATTATCATGCCATACAAAACATAGTCATGCTGCATTTGGAGTATTATATCTATGTTGTATATATGCACAGGTATATTTTTTTGAATAGTAATGAAGAAAAGTTCTATTAAAAATAAAACAGGTACAATATGATCAGGTATCAAGATGACACACCAATACAAGAACACATCAGTACATCAATCTAGACTGAAATGATTCACATCAAGAATGTCCCAAAAGTTCTCTTCAGTTTCTTGATTTAGGATATATTCTCTGTTTTCTCACTTGCTTGATTTAGGATGAATTGATCTCTGTTTGTTTTACTTCTGAGTTTGTTAATCTAGAAGAACTTATGATACTACTTTGTTTCCTTGGTATTTCTTACTTGATTTTTGGCTGAATGCATTTCTCAGACTATCTAATCTATTAAGGTGCTTGAAGAGCCCATGACATTGACAAATGTCTGTAGTTGAATTCCTTTATATCATTGTTAAGAATTTCTATGATATCATTCTTATAGTCCATGACAAACGCAAGAGTGCAGGTTGAAGTCTGAGAGCAGCCACTATGTGAAAATAAATAAATGTCATACATTAGGTCCTTGTCTAGTACACCCCTCCAAGATTCCAGACACCTTGGACCTAAATTGAAAAATCAGTTGTAACAATGCTATAGTTGCAACTTGATGAGTTGAATGTATCTTTTGTTGTATTTATTGTTTGATTGCCACCGTTATTTTCTGCCACAATGCCAAGGAATACTTGGAACAATGATTTAATAGAATGAAAAAAATGGACTAACATCAAATTAATTATTGTTTATTATATTAGACCTTTTCTTGGTTAATGATCTGTAAATTACCAAGGGTCCATTTGGTTCGCAGTTGGAATCAGAATCAGAATTGGAATGGCCTATTCCCATAGTCTGTTTGGTTCAGACAGGAATGGGAATGGGAATGGAAATTAAAATCAACAGGAATGAGATTTCATTCCCAAGGGAGAGGCAGGGAATGGCCATTCCCTCAAATGGGGGAATGTCATTCCAGTAGGAATGGGAATGGGATTTCGATTCTGTCCAACCAAACAGCTATTCCGATTCCGATTCCAGACCCCTATTCCTGCAAACCAAACGGGGTCTAAGATCTCATTAACAATCTCTTTAGCCTTTTGCAAGAAACTTCTTTTCTCCAATATCCATGAATTGATATGGAATTTAAAACCTTTGTACTTGGTCCTTAGAGTTCACATTGGAAGTAATGCATTGATTGTAAACAAAACAATGGGTAAAATAGGTGGTCATAATAGTTCTTGGGAGATGAGTTAGCAGATTTAGCTGAAGGAGAGGAAACATATTCCTTTTAAATTAACCCTGCTCAAGTGAATTTTGGTTCAAGTAGGTAGAAGAGACATTAAATCTTTTACTAGCTAATAGGTTGGTCTCAGTGATGTGGTTGAGTTCAATTTGACACCAAAAGGAAATGACGAGACATTGAGAACACAATCCTTTTAAACTCAAGCCATTTTTAACCAAAGAGGAAACAGGGAATAGAAAGAGAAACAAAGAAAGTCCTACCTCAATCAAGCAGTCATTTCTTGTTCTATGCCTTAATTGTGATTTCTTCATACCGTAGCAGAATGGTCACCACAATCATTGAAATTACATGGAAAATGTTGAATTACTTGAAACAATCCCAAGGTAACAATTCCTCTCTATCTGTGCCCAATTTAGATCTAACTAACTGGAGTACAAGATTTTGAGCAATATTCAACTTATGTTCTCTCAAGCTCTTCAAGGAAAATTTTTAGCATTTTAAAATGACTGAGGATGTGATACTGGAGTGACAACTGGATGTTAGACTAAGATAAATGAGAGGGTAAAAGACTTAAACCTCCCCTAAGGTTTAATATAAATACTTATACCACCCCTATGGTTTCTGATTGCACTTAGACCTACCCTGTCAACAAGATATACTGTCATATTTAACAGAACAAAGAAAGATAAGGCTTACAAATCCAATGAGAAGATCATCCATCTCAACCAGCACTTCCATGATGTTTCGAGAGATTAGAATCAAATACACGTTTTTGAATTATAAGATTTTCCGTGGCCTCTGTTGCTTTAAACCAAGCCTGTTAGTCCATTGTTCAGAAATCTGAACCTTCTGATTTAATCATGGCTTATTTCATGAAATTACGTCATCTTTTTTTTTTGATAATTAATTACGTCATCTTATTTTCTTTGATTGTTTTTTTACATCTTTACTACTACCATATCCTCTAACTATAATTCTAGTTCAAGTATTTATTTATTTTGGTTTTTTTAGGTTTTCTAATGCCATAATTTAAGTTTGGATACCTTGGACCTTTCCTTGCCCCATATTCCACCAATCAGTCCACTTCCTGAGAAATAAACAAAAGAATTATTGTAATATGATATCAGGTGGCCAACGTTATCATCCAAATCTTCTAGTTCCACCATTTCCAATCTTCGGTTCAGGTTTGGTGATGGGCCTGAGATTCAAGATTTGTGTAATTAGCATAGCTAGATTGTGATGTAGTCCAGTTGACTGGGTCCTCAAAAGTCTGGATCATTTACAACACCTTTTATGAGTGTGAAGATGGTTTGCTTGATGTCACATATGAATCTACCGGAATCTCTGTTTCAAACAACAGATTTGGAACCATGACAAGATTCCTAATGATCAACTTTCTTTCTATAAACTCAATGCATTCAAGCTGCTAACTATTAGAATTTGAAATTGAAGGATCCGCTAACTATTTTGTTTAGGATAGAATAGCACCACCGCTGGCACATACACGTATGCGAGTCATGGAAGATGCAAGAGGAACTCATGGATATATTAATGCTCCAGGAGGACGAAGAAAGAATACAGAGATGGGCAAAATTGGGTTTTGAGAAAAATTAACAAACACATAATGTGATATACGAATGGATCTGGATTGAGTGCTAATAGAGGGGGGTATAAGGTATTTGTCTAGTGATATCACTCAATGAGGGAGGTCTCAGTCCAATTCAAAAAAAAAAAAGGAATGTTTTAATATTTAGGAGAAAACTCAAGGGACATTTTAAGTCGTTCACCCTTAATGAGATCCACAATGATATTTTCTGTTGTACTATTTGATACCTGAACGAATTATTTAGCTCGTTAGAAAATTCCAGTCAAGTAAGAAATTGACCAGGAAGGGAAGGACTAAACCTGCCTTGTCACTGTTTCATTCAATTCTTTACTTTATGTTCTATTTGAATACCTAATTTTGCATTGAGCTTATTCCATAGCATCTTATCATTACATACCCTTTTTTCTTTTGTTTTCGTCCATGGTATGCCATCTAAAATCTCTATTTCATATACTGAAAATCAGTTTTTAGACTTCTGGTCTTGACCCTAAGTGGAAAACATGCAATAACAAGCAATTGAACTGTGTAATCTATCATATATAGAACAGATGGCAGGGTTTAATGTTAGTAGAGGTTACAACTTACAACCTCTGAGTTTAATATGTTTGTTGTGGAAGGAAAACCTCTTATTTAGTCATCTTTTGGATCTGTCATACAATAGGGTCTTTGCTTCAGGTCTAATAATTTGTTCCATTGGAAGGCAATATGGAATAGTTCCATTGTTGATTCTGTTTCAGGGGTGGCACAACTAGGGCACAGTTGTATTGTGCGTCTTCTAGTACCATGTCGTTGCACTATAATCTCTTTTTAGCATAGTTTGGTCCTATCCCAGCTTATTTCTTTTTCCTTTTTTTTTTTGTTTCCTTTTGGTGTAGCCGCAATTTCTGTCATCTTTTTTGAAGGATAAAAAGAAATTTCATTAAACTGAAAAAAGCAGTACATCTCAAAATGCTGGTTGTCTAGTTGACAAACCAACAGCATAACAGAATTACACTATAAGAGTCAAAATTACAAGGATTCAATTCCAAAGTGCTTCAAACCATAAAATTTACAGCTCCCTTGACATCCCCAAAGCTTTAAGCTCCACCCGATCTCCTCCCTCTTCACCCCATACTTTGAAGCATGATCTCCACTATCTCCCTCTTCCATCCCTCAAATCCCTAACATTCCAACTGAGAATCCTCAACTTCCTCCCCTTCTCCCTGTCTTCCCCCTCCCCCCAATTCACTCAATCTCGTCCAACCCCTCTTCTCCTCCCTCCTCATCCCAACCCTTTATTTTTTCTAGATATTCTTCCCTCTTCTTTTTCTCTTATCTTTTCTTTTTTTTCAAACTTCTCAAATGCTATCTTCACAAAGCCTTCCCC